GTGAAAGGACTCTGCCTGACCGCATCACCAACTGCATATATTGTAGATATACGAACCTCTAGATGCAATTTGGTGCATCGTTGCCTGTTGCCAGGGGGGGTGGGGGGGGAGGGGGATACGGGTTTTGGCATTTTTGTTGCCGGCGCACACAGGCGTTAAAAATGCAGCAAGGCATTCTGGCAAAACTCGTCCTTGCTGCTGCCGCTGCTGCTGCTGCTTATGCTCGTTACTCCATAGTTTTTCTCGCATACGCATAGTTAATTTTTTATGTCTAACGAAAATTGGATCCAAGAATTATGAGCAGATTGTTTAAGCTGTTTATACTGTGTTTCAAATTGCAGCACTTTAAGGCGAGGCATTCATAGAAGCCGCATTTTCGATAGGAAAATAAAATGTTCGACCGAAGGAATTTTTAATAAAATTAATTTATGTGTATTGAATTTAATGATAAGTTGGGCAGGGCATGAGCTTGGATTTTATAAAGAGCCTATTAATTTCCACCCAAAAAGAGATCAAAGAACCCTCGAACCACTATATTTTACACTTAATTGATTGGATAATGATGAATGATATAGATATATACTTTACAGCTCAGGTCAATCATAGATTATATTTATAGTATCGAAACCACTTCTAATAATTTGCTGTCACTTAACAGATCGTATTTTTGGTAATTTTTTAGAAACATTTTGGCTTGGCATTGCCTAGTTTGTACCAAATCGGACCACAGCAACCGCAAGTGCTAAATTGTCAAGTAAAACCTTACTCGCTTGCCAGCAAACAAATTCAATTAATGCTAAAAACGTTATGCGAGCCAAAATGTTCGTATGCAGAGACACCACAGTTTTCTACTTGTGTGGGCCGGCTGCATGGCTGCATGGATATATATCGAATGTGTCCAACATATCGGGCCAAGTTGGCTGACAGTCTGCTTGGCTGACCATTTTGGCTATCTCCGGTCAGTCTCAGTGTCTGTGTGGCGGGTGCCAGGCTATCGATTGGCATTGCCAATGGCCACAAAACTTTGTTTACCGTTGCTTGGACATTTTGCAATCAGTTTAGGGCAAAAACTTTGCAGCAATATTTATGTCCTTTACACATTTAAACTCTCTTTCTCGCTTTCTCACACTATCTCTGTTGCGCACGCATGGAACGTATATAACAGTTAGCACTTTCTAATGCATTTGTGACCTCAATATTTTCAAATTTTTGGCTCCTTTTTGTTGGCAACGCTTGGTCCAAAATCTGCATAGAGTTAAAATATTTTAACTTTGTATTAAAGTTGAATTGCGTTACACAAATTGCTTGGCTTTAATCAAGTTTGCACTATATATACTAAATGAAAGCAGCCCATCAATATTTTCCAATTCCTTAGCTGGGCAGGCCAGCTGCTTTTATAAGTGAACTAAAGATTGACATTTTTCGCTTTGATGGCAAAAACTTTGATGGATGAGTAAAAAAAAGAAGGTTAACTCACTTCTACTTCTGCTGCGACATCACTTTTCAATTAGTATTTAAATTCTTTATTAGGCAACTCTCCTACCCACTTCGCGGTTCACACTTTATAATTTTCCCCAAATTTGCCAATTTATTATTGTCGCTGCTTTTGCTGCTGGCTTGTTTGTTTATTTTCGGAAATCGAAATAAATTCAATTTTGGTCACCAGCACACACAAATGTCATTTTTTAAATAAATTTATTGAGCTTGAAAATAGACTATCGATTGACATATAAAATAAAAGTATTTTATTAATTAGCATATAATCCAATAAGCCTTGCTTCTGGTCTGATTTGAAGCGGTGACAAAAATATGTTATCAAATAAATTTAAATAATTTTGTGCATTCGAAGAAACAATAGAGCTTTTAATATATGCGTATGAGGATGGACTTGTGTCAATTTCTTTTAATAGAAATTGTTCCAGTAAAAATGTTCTGGAATATTTTGAGGAAATTAGATGACATTTTGAGAAAAACTGAGCAGCCTGCTCACAATTTTACTTGACTTTTGAGTTGCTTTTACATTTTTTGCTGAAAAAGTTATATTTGTTTAGTTAGATAGTTTCTATATGAATATAATTGAACATTCAAATTATGAGCTAAAATAATTTTTATATATATTATATATATAATTTTTGCAAAAACCAGTTGCTAATAAACTAAGAACTTTAAATGTTGCAAACTCGAATTTGATTTTTTATCCAACAACTCAAATCGATTTAAGTTTTCAGCCAATAATGCAGCATATGACGCCTTGGCAACTGAAACACAGTCAATTGCTAACATTCAACAAACTTTTCGGTTTCTTTTGCTGGTTTCAGTTTGCAAAATATTTGCACAAATACAAAAATTCCATTTCAATTTCGGGCCATTAGTGTCGCCGTTTAAATGCGGCTAGCAAAAGCAAGAAAAAAAGTTTTGTTTTCACGCTTTGGCATTAAAAGAAAACAGTCGAAGCAAAAAAAAAAGAAGAAGAAAAATACCAAAGTAGCAGCCAAGTTTTTCAGTTTGTACGCGGTATCCCCCGCAGCTGATATGCCACGCTCTAAAGCCCCAACCAAGCCCCGTGTGTTTTTTTTTTTGCGCAACCATTTTTCAACTTTGGTGCTGCTGTTTGCCAGTTGTGTTTGTTTGCACAAGAAAAATTAAAGGAAAATAACAGCCGCAATGAAAATGGAATAAACGTACATTGACACGGACCGATCAAAATTGAATTTGTCTGCGGCATTTGTCGAATTGCTTGTATGATAACTATTCAAAAAATAAATATTATCGATTTTAATATACAATTTCAAACGCATTAGGGTCATTTAAATTGTATACATATAGATATATTTATATTTAGAACTTTCAAAAGTAGAACTTCTGCTAGCCCAAAGTTCTGCCCACATAAGTATGCAACGCTTTTTGAGTTTTGCACATGTGGCATTCCCCGGGCACCGACCACAACTGGTTCCACACAATGCTTTTTAATTTAATTAAAAATATATAGACATATATATATGTATATATTTAACATTTTTCGCTTTCTTGTTCTTTGCCAAAAACTTTGGTATATAAATAAATATGACTAACGATGTGCAGAAGTGGTGCCCGCCTACGCCCCACCGCCATAGTAAAAGCTACACGCACACGCTGCAGACACGCCTACGGTAAACTCACTAAGCCAACTGCCCCCTTCCATCTGGCTCAGCTTCCATGTGCCACGTTGTTGCTTTGTTTAGCTGCAGCGGGTCATGTGGGTCAAGTGGGTGGGTCAAGTATTAGAATTGTGCGGCTACACAAAGGTCGGCTTACGGTCTCTCTGTTGTCCTGGCATGGGTTAAGTGGTTTTTAATGAAAGTTAGAAGCCGCTTTAATGCAACTTGTTGTTGCTAATTGTGTTATGGAGAGCCCACGTGACCAGCTCATCCCACCCACTCACCAACCAGCTAGCAAAGCCCTTTAAAGCATTTTCTCTTTGTTGTAAATGGTTCTCTAAAAGGAAAAGTTTGTCCGGCAAAATGTTGAAATATTGTACCGCTTAAAAGTACTTGAAGGCGACGCATCATTAATTGTTGAGCATAATAACTTTAAGCCGTTAGTGATAGCTTTATATTTAACAGAATGAAATATTAATTTATGCAGTCCGGCTATAAACTAAAAGCATTAACAATGGACAGGGTAAAAAGTCACGCATAATTTTGGGCGTTTGCTTTGTTCTGTTTAATATTCGTTTGCTTTCATTGGTATTATGCACCAGCAGACAGTTGTAAATATATATAAATATATATATATATATTTTTGCTTTCATTTTATCCAACTCACTCGCTCTCTCTCATTTTGCATTGCGCGCATTTTTGTTGCCACTTTTTCAGATGATTTCCTGACCCCTGGCTTCCTGATCGGAATTCTGTATTTCCGTTACGTCCATTACGCTTTTAAATGCGAACTCGCCTTTGTTGTTGCCTGTCCTCTTTTTTTCCCATGCAACTCCCCTTATTTATTATTGTTGCCGCTGGCACACCGAGCAGCTGGCTTTGGCTGCTCTGGAAACTCTAGAAATTCAATTTTCCTGCGGGAAGTTTCAAATTGTTTTTAACCAGCAAAAATGTTGCGTTAAATATATATAAAAATGAAAGTTAACGGAAATTATTCTTTCTTTGATTTAGTCAGTTGTTATCTTGTGATTTATTTAGTAAGTGATTCAGAAATTCTGACTGAAATTTGAATGTGGCTAAGCCGCGTTAAGCTCTTCTTGTTACAAATAGTAAAGGAAGTTCAATATCGCCTTTTAATTCATTTCTTACATTCAATATATCTCAGCTATAGAAGTGTCTATTAACGTTTGCTTAAAATCAGATTATTTTCGACTAACAAATTTAAACTTGTAATTTGAGTTTCAAAGTTCCCTAGAAAATACACGGATTGTCTAGCATCTTACCCCCTTCTTAAGGCAGGTGAGTTTCTACCAAGCTCAATTGACTTTTTTCTGTTTCATATTATTATAATACTTGGGCTTACGCTTAACTTAGCTGACAGTGTCATAATTTAGATCCAAACTAATTTACTTTACTTTTATACATCTAAACACGTTATATGGGAACACATTTATCTTCTCTCGCCCCTTCCTTGTCTTACCTTACCTAGGGCTAAGGGTTTTCATTCCCAACTGATTTCCTGCCTGTTTAATATGCTCAACGCTTGTGCTCAACGCTCAGTGATTTTAATTAACATTTCTGATTTTGTGGCTTAGCTGCCTGTCGCTGTCTCCCTGTGTTTGTGTGTGTGCCTGTGTGTGTTTTGCTCTTTATTGGCACACCTGTGCATACAGGTGACAAGGTATTAAGCCAATGTGCCGTGTCTTTAGCTTTGTCTGCGGCTGCCCCTTAAATTCTGTAATTAATTAAATTGCTGCTTGTTTAATTAGCTGTGCAAGTTTTTATGATTAAGTTTTCGTGAACCGTTAAGATCTTAATTAAACTTAATTAATGTATTTGGAATACCAAATCTTTTCGTTACAGTAATCAACATACCAAGTAGCTTGTGGTCGTAATAAACTCAACAAATAGGTAAGTTTTCGGAGAGTTAATATTCAGAAGCGGCAGTAGATGTCAGTGCTCGACTTGTGAATACCCTGTCTTACCATGAATTATAAATATTGTAGTTCTGTCCATATGCGAATATGGCTTGTAGTTTTTTTTCGCAGGGATTAAAGTGCATAACTTCACAGAATGGTCTGAAAATTAGCTCTTATCAATTTGTGGGATCGAAAGGAGCTCTGAAAAACTGAACTAAAATCTAAACTTATACCAAGTAATCCATGCCAAAGTTGGTGTGAAGTGTTTATGAACTCTAAAATCAACGTGTGTATCGTCTATATATATTCTGTTTATATTCTGTAAAGTAGAGTCGGAAATAGTTATTGGTGCAAACTCAATATTTAGGTGCCCTTACTTTTCCCTATTTTCCTTTTGTTTTTGCTTTAAAATCTTTGTTTAAAGCAAAATTGCCTATTGCTGATTAATTTCAACGTTTTCATATCATACGTTTGTGCAATCGGCTGTCTATATACATTTTCATTGCACTTCATTCAGCTGACAGATTTCATTCGCTTTGACGGCTCCATTCAAACATCAATCAAAGCATTTTCCAAAATATATTTTTTTTATTCGAATTTATTTGATAGATTTATTTATGCTTTCTCTTTTTTTTGCTGGGTGTCAATGTTATGGGCATGAAATATGCTTTGGCTTTGTGTGCAGCTTTTGTTGTTGAATAAAAGAACTTAACAGGGTTTTTTTTGTTTTATTAAATAAATATTTTCCTTTCGGTTTTAAGCTTTTGTGTTTACAAATTAAAAAATAGCTTTAAAATATATATATGCGTCTTAAATGTGGTATAATGTGCGACCCTCATGGCGTCGTATATCCTGGGCTACTTGGTCAGCAGCTAAAAAGGTTTTGCTGGAAATCATGTGAATCGAAACTTGGCTAACAATCTGCTGACCATTGCCCAAAGGCAAAAGCAGTCGACATAAACATGCGACTAGAAAAATCGAAATGGAATCCAATACAAAAGAGCACAAAACAGCTGCAGGCCAAAAGTCGGAATTGTATGTGCTTGTATATATATGTGTGTGTATGTTGATATCCTTAATCAAAGTTGTGTATGAGGAATCAAATTATGAGTGCGCACACATATAACACCAGGAGACATATGCACATAAGTATGTCACAAGAAATAAACTACAGTGCAGCGGCAGCTCCAGCCCAAGGACTAGCAGCCTGGAAGGACTTGCCTGACTGCCTGGTTGACTGCCTGGTTGTCTGCCTGGCTGCCTGCCTAACTGATGAAGTTGATAATGATAAAAAGGGCCAGATAAAATGAATGCCAAAGACGCAACGAGCCGAGCGAAGGCAGCAAAATAAATTATGAAAAGAATGTTTCACGCATGTGCATAAGAAAACAGGCGTGAAACCTTGTTCTGGCTTTATATGTATATAAAGATATATTTGTGTGTATGACGCTGCTTAATTAATTTGATTTCATTCATTCAAGTCAAGGAAATGTAAAAAACTCCAGCAAAAGGCAAGTAAATTAATTGAAAGGCAGCAAGAAACAAAAAAGATAGAAAGGAATTGCGCGATTGCAACACATTCATAATTTTTCAACAAACTGAGGCTTAAATCGGGCACAAAAAGAGTGGGCGAAATATGTGTGTGTATGGGTGTGAGTCTGTGGGTGTGTGTGTTAGCGGAAAAACTCATTGAACTTGCTGCAAACACAAAAGCAACGACTGCCATGCCGTTGTTGGACCAAACCGTGTCGACATTGGTAATAAAGCGCTCACTAGCAGTTCGTATATCCTGGCTATTCCACCTCCCCTCTGTGTGTCTGCGTGTATGTGCGTGTTTGTGTGTGTTTGTGTGTGCCTCGAACGAGGTTAAGAGCTTAATGAGTGAGAGTGCTGGCATAGCAGCCTGCAGTTGACATATGATATTTTTATGTGCCTCACAGCCTTGGGCAACAAGAGTTTGCCATTACCATGCACCCAAGCAGCGAGTGTCCTTACAAGGTAAATGCTAAGGTTTTAACTTAATTAGTGCATTTACTAAATGTGACACAATTTCAGTATTTTCAACGACTCACATTTGTAATTGACAAACTATGTTACGGCTATTTATCTGGGGAATTTCACTTAGTTGCCAGTTAGGCGACACGTTGAGTTTTATTTTTGTTCGTTTTTTGTAAGTTCCTAATTTAAACATATTGCTGTGTAAGTTAGTTTCAGTTAGTTAAGACATTTATCTTAATTAATAGTGCAAAGCCTCGTGAACATCTGATAAGATTTGACCGAGCTATGGGGTTGGGAAATTTTGACCTATATCTATATACGAATCTTACGAGGAAGATTTTGACATGAATTTCGACTAGAAATTATGTAGTCAGATTTGAATGCCATATTAATCTAGAGGGAAAAATATGTACATAAATCCAAACCTCGTGAAAATCGGATGAGATTTGACCGAGCTATGGGGGTAAGAAATTTTGACCTATGTCCATATACGAATCTTGGGAGTAAGATTTTGACATGAATTTCGACTAAAAATTACGTAGTCAGATTTGAATGCCAGATTAATCTAGAGGGAAAAATATGTACAAAAAGCCAAGCCTCGTGAAAATTGGATGAGACTTGACCGAGCTATGGGGGTAAGAAATTTTGACCTATGTCTGTATACGAATCTTATGAGTAAGATTTTGACATGAATTCCGACTAAAAATTTTGTAGTCAGATTTGAATGCCAGATTAATTTAGAGGGAAGACTATGTACAAAAAGCTAAGCCTCGTGAAAATCGGATGAGATTTGACCGAGTTATGGGGGTGGGAAACTTTGACCCATATCTACATATATACGAATCTAAGGTGTAAAATTTTGAAATGAATTTCGACTAAAACTTATGTAGTCAGATTTGAATGCTAGATTAATTAAGAGGGAAAAATATGTACAAAAAGCCAAACCTCGTGAAAATCGGATGAGATTTGACCGAGTTATGGGGGTGGGAAATTTGGACCTTTGTCTATATACGAATCTTAGAGGTAAGATTTTGACATGAATTTCGACTAAAAATTATGTAGCCAAATTTAAATGCCATATTGATCTAGAGGGAAAACTTTGTACAAAAAGCCAAACCTTGGGAAAATCGGATGAGATTTGACCGAGCTATGGGGGTAAGAAATTTTGACCTTTGTCTGTATACGAATCGTAGGAGTAAGATTTTGACATGAATTTCGACCAAAAATTATGTAGTCAGATTTAAATGCCAGACTAATCAAGAGGGAAAACTATGTACAAAAAGACAAATCTCGTGAAAATCGGATGAGATTTGACCGAGTTATGGGGTTGGGAAATTTCGGCTTATGTCAATTTGGCATATTTGAGGGTACGATTTTTCCACACATGGAAATTCCGGAAACCCCGTCTTAGCGTGTACCTTCATCAGTAACTACAGTGAAAATTCAGCTTCCTAGCTCGTCCGGTTTTGGCTGGGCGTTGATCAACAATCAGTCAGTCAGTCAGTCATGACAAAGAGTTTTATATATAGAGATGAAGCATAATCACAAAAGCTACGTGCTTAACTATCCAATGTCCCTTAGACCTAGCCTTTAATTGGTTTTAGACATACTAAAATTTATATTTTATATGTCAGCTATAAAGGTTTCCAATTTGCTAATCTATCTATATTTACACTTGTTTTCCATTTGTGTTGCCATCTACTGCTCAGCTCTTTGTCAATTAGTCAAAACAAGCCAAAAAGTTATGCACTTGGATTTGCAGTGTCCGTTGCAGCTGCAGTAGTTGCTGTTGCTGTTTGTTTATTGCCACGTCAAGAGCCAGGGAGCGTGACAAACAACATGTAAATACAGACGACAATCCCACATAGATGCACAGACACACATAAGCACACACACGTGTGCGAGTGACCGTTGAAGCATTTTGGAATCTGCAACAGTGTTTGGCATTGTTAACCGCTTCTGGCCATTGTTTAACTGGCTGCAACTGCTGCTGCCATATTTGCAGTTGCTGATGACATTAATTGTTGCATTTTGCTTTTGGTTTTTCGCATTTGGCTTGTTGTCTGCGAGCTTAACGCCACGCTAAACACGAGTGTTTGTTACCACTTAGCTGAATTTTACCATATCGCTAGATTGAATTGCAGCTGCACAGGTTGGGCTTGGCCCACTTTGGACCCCCTAGCACTTCCTGGCATATCAGTTACGTTAACACGCGCTCTTGATTTATTAGTCAGCGTCAAGGCAGACGCGGTTTAAAGCAGCAGCAGCAACAGCAGCAGTTCAACCGCTAACAGCTTTTGCTTAGTTAGACACTTTTAATTAAATTTTATTTAATTATTCAGCGGCCAGATTTTTAGAGCTTGGCAAACTGCGAGCATCATGAGCTGCCAAAAATTTATGACGAAAAGTGTGTTGCATATTGTATGGACAGCTCTTCCAAAGCGGGAGGAGTGGGGGATGCGCATGCCACGCGGTGTGGCAAGAAAACTTATTTAATGAGGATCTGAGGCTTAGTACAGAATTAAGCTGTTGCAAATGCTATTGGCTTATTTTTTAATAAAAAGTATGAAAGCCTTTTGACATTTAAAATTATATAAATTTAATTTTTATATATTTATATGAATATTTATATTTTTGACAATATAAATATATTATTTATCTTAAAACAAAACCTAATTTTAAATAAATAGTTTTTTAGTACATTTTTTATTTTGAATTGTTTTAATTATGAAAAATATGTGAGCTTCGAAGTAAATGCCTTTGGCTACATTCCAAACAAATATTTCAAACGCCGCATAAATAAATCAATTTTTATTTAAATTAAAAATCAATTATATGCTGCTTGTTAAGGCAATTATAGCTCATAATAATCAAAAATGTAACATCACAAAGAGCACTTGAATTAAATTAACTTTAACAATTAATGCCACTCGTGGTACGCTAGTTAATTAAATGCCAAATGTTCGAGTTCGAGCAAGTCAATTGCACGCATTTGCGCACATTGCGCTGCACTTGAGCAAATAAGTTGACAGGCAAACAGACAGCAACAACACTTGCAACAATATGTGGCAACATAAAGCGCAACGCACACAAGCACGCAACATCAACAAGTTCATTAAAAAAGTTAGCAAAGCAAAAAGCTCGTCTTTCTTTCTCTCTCTCTCTCAAATTCAACTCAAATGAACAGAACCCGACGAATTCAACGCTTCACTTGAACTTCGCGCAAATTGTTGTTGTTTTTTATGCCCAGCCATTTTTTTTATCTGTAAGTTGACTGCACACCTCTCCTTCCTTTTCGCATGATTTAACTACTCGCACACCTACACAATTTGCAAAAAATAACAAAAGCAGAAAAAAAATGGAAATGATGCGGCTCATTTGTGTGCGGCCACAAAAGGGGGGCTAAAGCGCTCGTAATGGACAAGAAAGTAAAAGTTTCATGTTAAAAGCCGAAGCTGATATACCCTTGAATAATTTTTGATATAAGCTCTGATGCTGGGAAAAATATGGATACAACATTAACTGTCCTAAATTTTTAATATTTCGATCAAATTCCCGCCTTTGGGTGGAAAATGGGTGAAATTTGGAATTGCTAGAGTTTGATAAAAGCTTTACAATGAAAATAAATCGATAATAAATCTAACTTACATAACTATAAGATTAGGCAAAACAAAGATTATTTGTATGTGAAGGAATTTTTGCAAATAATTCACTTTAAAACATTTTATTAGAAGTCTCTTTTTTTGCAAATCTCCAGAAGTCTTTTTTAATTTTTATTAATTATTTAGATATAAAATATTTATATATAAAACAGTGAGAATACCAACAAATCTGGCCAAATATTATATCCTTTCACACATTACGAGATTTGGATTTTTGCCTTGGCTTTTTGTAGACAATTATTTCTGGTATAAATCTCAAAGATGTCTACTTTGTTAAGGGGGGATATGCCGCTTGTAGGGTATCTGACGGAAGCGGAAGTGACGTTGCAATTGAATTGTGTGCGCATTCTATGAGCTGGAACATACTCAAACAGCACCCTTCTCCGCATTTGGTCATGTTCACGTTTTGTTGCACTTTATGGCCAGCGAAGTGTGTCGATGGTAGCGAAAGTGAAACCGCTAAAAGTTCAGCGTTGGCCCCCTTTTGTTATTGTTTTTATTCTACTTTTTTTGCCTGTGTTAAGGCACATGCATTGTTAACAACCACCAGCAGAGCACCGCTCGCAGGAGCGCAGCCAGCGCTGCCCGCGCCCTGCCGTTCACATTGCGATGCCGGAAGTTTGTGGTGGGAAATTTCATTTATGCTGACACTTGACTTGGTTTGACTCGCCCTTTGGAATATACCCTGTCCAGTATTGGGCACTGGGCCCAATGGTTGGCTTTAATTTGCAGCAAATAAATAATGGAAACAGACGTTCAGTCCTGAGCTCGATTTGTTGGCCATTTGGCCTTGATGGCAGCGCATTGCTACCAATTCTATTCAATTCGCTGGCCAACGAAGTTCGTATTATGCTCAAGTTGTGCACTTTTTCCATTTCCTCTACGACGGCCGCCAGCCGGAGCACAGTACAGAGCGGAAGTGGACGCGAACTGTGGACGAGAGCAGGGCGCTGTATAGTGAGACAAAAGGCAGCGGACAGGACTTCATTGATTTTGTTGGTCTTTTGTGGTTGTCTTGGGGCATTTTTTTTTCAGTTTTTTTTTTTTTTTGTATGCCTTGGCTTTCAGTTGTCCATCGGCCAAGTTTGCCTTCTGGCGTTAAATGTGACAATTTAATTGTTTTGTAATTGTTGGCTCTTTGAAGTGGACTCTGATTTATTGCCAAATTGAATAAGCACCAGGAGAGCACACCAGATAATTTTTAGCTTTTGAGCAGCAAATTCATTTAAGTTTTGTTTTGCTACGTTGACCAATATTCCTTTTACGTGTCAATTGGTTCCAGCTTATAAAAATTGTAAAGCTCTTTTGACCTGTACAGCACTTGCTTATCGGATTGCTAATAAAAATGCAGTGCTAACGAAGAATAGGGCTCAAAATTAATTTGCCTGATTTGTTGAACAAATTAAAGGCCGAAATATTTCCTCATCTACACTTTAGCCTTATCCCAAGTGACAGTTCAGAGAGTTGAGAAGTTTATAGTTTGAATGGATAGCTTACATTATCTGTGTTAAAAACTACGTTCATTAAAAACTTTTCCTTTTTTGTCTAAATATTGATACACTTGGGTATTGTAATAAAATAATATTAAAATATCTTGGCCAGGTATTTGAGTTGTGTTGACAACTTTTTTATTTGTTAAGCCTGTCTTAGAGCTTCTGAAATAGTTTTGCTCGAGACTGGAAATATGCTTGAGCTGGGCGAATCAATTGATTATAGAATGACGGTAAACACAAGTTTCTTGTCAGAAAGTAATGGAATTTATTTGGGGAAAAAATAATTTAACTAAAATCTTCGAAATACCACGAGGTATAAAAATAAAAAACTGTACTATAATTTATAAGGTTTAATTTTATTTGTTGCGTCTTACAATAAAATAGTATATTTTTATCAAGGCCAAGGCATAAAGTTTCCAACAAACGAGGCTTTTCTTTCTTTCTCGTTAAATTTTAAACTAATTGCGTATACGTAATGCTCTCAGGTTCAAAATTTATTCAGTTACGGTTGATATATGCAACTTTTTCCAGGTAGCAGCCGCAAGCTCTTTAGCATTAACTCTTGTTTTTTGCAGCCTGCTTTTAGGCGCAACACGAGCAGCCACCTGAATGCCGTGGCAAACGTGTCTAAGTAGTAAACAGTGGCAGCAACGGAAACTTTTTTAAATGATTGCAGTGCATGAAATTGGCTGGCATTCACTTCAAGAGTGGGCTTGCGGATGAGGAGCTGCTGCTGCTGCTGCTGGCCTGCTCTGCCCTGGCACAGGCATAAGTTTTTGGGTTTTATGCTGGCTGACTGCTTATGTTGGGGCTGAAATGAAGTTAGCAAAACTGATTAACTCTCGGCGGCAACAGCAGCAGCTCGGCATGCATTTTGCCTGCCGTCTGGCTGCAGGCTCCAGGCTGCAGGCCTTCAAAAGTTGCAGCATAATTGAATTTTGCCCGTCTCCAATGCTGCGTGCCTCATCTTTGGCCCGGCCTAATGATAGTTTGTGCTGCTCCAAAGACCGTTGGCATCGGGCATTGTGGGGGCTGCTTAATGTAATTTAAATGAAGTATTTGATGCATTTGCTGTTGCATTCAAATGCAATTACACTTTGTTAAGCAATTTCGCACCGATTCTTGAATTGCCTAACTAAACAGGCGCATAAATCTTTTAGCTAACACGCCCACTTGCCGAGTGGACTAAAAGGTTCATCAGCTGTTGGGATTTACTTGGTGCTGTTGTCGTTCCATTTAAACTGCGACTTGATGCAAACAATTTGCTTAGCTACGCCCCCTTTTGGTATGTAATGTTAGCGGAACGCCCACAGCTACAGGCTGCCAGCGCACAGTAGTTGGCTGTGCTAATTCTGGCACTGGCCATGATAAACGGCAGCCACAGAAGAATTATATAAATGCGCAAAAATGGCATACATAAAGAATCCACAGAATTTTGCAAACATATTTGTATACACTGTACACAGAATGAAAACGAGTATATGAGTTTTGTGCACCCCAGCTTCCATATTACTACTAGTGACAGTTTGAAATTCACTGCCTTTGAGTAACAGTTGGATGGATACTGTAACACTCACGAAGGCTATTATACATCTGTGTGAAAGGAGTATTGCGCTGTCGTTCACACCCGCCTGCAAGGCTCTTTCATTTCTCCTGTTCGCCGAATCTGCCATAGAAATTTATGAATTTTCATAAATTTTGTCAAAATGACCCTTTGGCACTTTACACTGTTTGCCGTCCTTTAAGCCAGCTTACTTGGCTTAAGCAGAAGGTCCTGCAATTTGTGTGGCTTTCGTTCGTTCATTTTTTGTATTCAATGCGACATTTCTGATGCACTGTCAAGGTAATTGGGTGGGCCAATGGGCGTGTCCTTTGCTACATATATTCATAGCACTTCATTTCTAAAAGTCGGCCAAGTGTCGCTCTTGGCTTTGGCTTTCACGTAAACAAACTGGCCATGAATCTTAATGCTTCAGCTTATTTCAGCTTATACACGCGCCCGCTTGTGTGAATGTGTGTATCAGTACATGTGCCTTTAATTTAAGTTAGCTAAACTTTTTTCATACGAAATTAATTAATATATAATTTCATTAATATTTCTCTTGTTTATTTTGCAGACTTGTGTCACCATAGCAAAGGTAAGTGCAAATAAATGTTTATGACTATCATAAGACGCATAGGAAAGTAATTATAAGATAAATAAATATATGAATACAAATAGACTAAGTTCATGAGCTTATACGACCTAAACATCTTGTAAAATTTCCATTGGTTTCCTTTTCTAAGGGCTCAAATCATTTGATTAATTTTAACAAGGGGTTATTAACATAGTGGAACTATATAAAAATACGTAAAGTGAAACATAGTTGGTTGAAAGCGACTAAAACCAAAAATTAATGGTAACATGAATTTGAACAAATTAAACTTCTTACTTACCACACAAGAATTAACAATGAAATTATAACTTCTTATCAAAACAAAGAAACGTGGACTTTAGCACTGCAGAACTGTAAAACTTTTAATCAGATAGTTAACTAAAAATGATGCATTATTAAACTCCTTTTGAACAATTGTTTTTTGTTGTCCTTTGTTTTACAATCCCATCGATTGATTTTTTATTTGTCCAGTGTTCCGCGCTCAGAATCCATGCACCTTGAGGCGATCGGCCTTGGCCAGCCCGACCTTAGTTAGCCACTGGCAAATATTTTCGCGTTGATCGCCCTGGAGCTGCAATACCTCACCGTATTCGGGATGCTCAATGACAGTGCCGTTGCATGCGAATTCCTTTTTGCAGGAGCGCACAATTTTCTTTAGATCGTATTCAGCTGACAAACCCTGTACGGTGGTTAGAGTCTTGCGTCCGTTGCGCTGTTGGATACGTATGTGGACGAGACCGTCCTGAATGTCATCATCTGGTCCCTTGATGGCATCGGCGAATGGATCGCGCGAGTTGAGATTCTGAATGGACATGCGAAGTGCTGTGCAGAAATCGAATACTGCAATAAATGCCAAAAGTTGCACAAAATTATAAACGAATTTTTTTTTATTTTTTTTGTTGTTTTGCTGATTTTTCTGAACGATTCAATTTTTTTTTATATTTTGTTAGCCTGTATATCGGAATTTATGACTATTGTTTTTTGTATGGCAACCAAAATATTTAAATTGACCACTGAACTAGAGATAACATTTGCTAAACCTGCTACGACTTTCAACAAAATATGATTTCCAAACAAATTATTTTGAATGCGATTTGCCCGCTTACTTAGTTTTCGTCTCATTTCATTAGCAGTCCATTGAAAACTAATGAAGCCTGTCAAATTAGCGCAGCTCTGTGAATTTTCCATCAGCGGTAATTAAAGCCAATAAGCAAGACAAATTTTCGTCCACCCTCCCTTAAAGTGCAATTATTATTCAATTTATGAAATTGAACAGACTTCTTTTATGGCTACATAAACTTCAATAAGTGCCTGCTGCTCTTACGCTCTGTGCGCGCCGCAATGCGAACAGGAAAGTACATAAATTCAATTTAGAAAATTTACCAAGAGGTATTTCAAGCGATTGCCTGCTTTTAGGCGCTGTTGCGTAAAAAAATATGTTTTTGCTTGATTAATTTTCTGCGGTTGTAAAAACCAAAGCGTAATGCTAAACAAAGCAAAAGAAAAAAAGTTGCAATAAAAACGTTAGACGGGATTGTTTTCCTAGGTGATACCCTTTGTTTGCATAAAATGAAGTATCTACAAAGTATTTTTTTGCTTAGAGTTTTTCAAACTTTTCTGCGGGCTTCAAATTTCGGCTTACGAATAAATATACCTCTTCCGCCCTCTTGATGCTTATTTTATGAGTACAGGGTATAAGAAAAAAAAACAAAATAGAGAAAAGCAATACAACGGAAAAGGTAGCAACGCAAGCACAAAACCAAATTAGAAAATTTGCATATAGTGTGAGTGAGTGCGCAGAAAAGTAGGCAACAAAAAGTTTCTGCCAAATCACATGCACACATTTGATATACGCACACACAGGAACACACCTGCTACGGTCTATTATTTTCTTTATCAAACTAAATTAAAAAGTTTTTGCCTTCTAGACCCGTGTGACTTTCGATTATAATGAGCCTGTCATGTGGCCTGATGGAGTTTTCGTTTTGTTTTTATTTCGTGAAATAATCTAGAAATTCAGCTGCCTAATGCAGAGTAACATTGGTAATTTATCAGCTGAAAAAGCAGTGGCAGCCAAACAAATTTGCATTAAATGCTGTGCACAGTTTTAATTGCTTATATCATGGCAGCAAACATAAAACTCATTTCACATGATATACGGACTGTCATCTATCTGTGTGCTTACTTGCCCCATCGGCCAAAATAAAGTTCCAACAGAAAATATGATGAATGCGCCGCGGAAACTGTGCGCTGAGCGTGTGGCAAATAATGAAAAATTACGGAAGCACACACACATACACACACTCGTACGAGCACCCCAAAAACACACTAAACAACTAAAACCGGTTACTTGCATATACAGGACTGTGGCACTGCATACATTTGGGCGCTGTAAAATATAAAATTCTATGAATTTGTACGTACATCATTTGAAAATCGTAAAACTTGCAAGTGTTGCTTGTCGAGTACAAACAAAAACACTCACACACACACACATGGAGACAGAGTCGCAGTGAATGTGTGCGAGCTGTCATAAACAGGCACAAAAAGGTAAACTCAGTTTTATTTTTATTATTCGTATTTTTTATTTTTTATTTTCTGTGTAAAAAGCGCATACACTTCTTTATATAATTATAATGCCTGGCCAAATGCTGATGCTTCTGATGAGCCTGACGATAATCATGAGGCTGCTGCTGTTGATTGTGCCAAAGCTGAAAAGCTGCTGTAGACGATTACACAATGCAATTTGCATGAATGGCGTTACTTGCCTAAGTTTATGACTGCGCAAATTGTGCCAAATTTTAACATGCTGCTGAGCCATGTGTCAGGATTCATAATTTCACTCAAGCAAATTAAATTTTAAACGAAATTTATAAGGAAAAAAAAAGGGAATTTATTAAACTAAATTTGTGGAAACCGTAAAATATTTATCTGAAATTCTAAACCAGAAATCTTTTTAAATTAAAACATAACAGGAACGAAGGCAGAATATTTTCATGAGTTCTTTAGTTTCTTAGACTTGGAAAATAATAATAGAGAGCTTTGCGAGACAGCTTAGAAAATAATAGCAATCGTACGAAGCAAAATGGGTTTAAGCTTGTTTGTTTTTTAGAAAATTAAAAAACTTAGCAAAAGTATAAGGAGCACAAGAAACTTCAAACTCAAACCACATAAGCCACAACTGTGTTGATCAATTTACTATTTGAGTTCAAGTTATTTATTTTGTAAGTAGACGGATTGCATGTGCTCTCTATCTCTCTTTGTCGCTTAAGAATGTTCCACTTCATAAACATAATCTAGAGGGTGTTGTAGAAATTTAAAAGGAAGAAAAATGATGATTAAATTTTATAATCCTTAAATAGTTTAAGTTCTGATTCCCCTACTCAACGATCATTTCCTGAGCATTGGTGTGGGCATTTATTAAATTTGGTCGTACAACTTAATCCTTAATCCCAAATCACTTCGAGTAATGCGTGTAAATGTCACACGCTTTAACACACACACACATCGATGGAGTGTCAAAATGGATGCAGCGCGAGTCAGGCCGCCAAATGGCATAATCAATAATGAGGTTAAATTGCAGGTTGACATGTGATAAACGGCACTTGGAGTGGGCAACTAATGAATGCCTTGGACATCCGTATTCGTAAACGTAGCCGAAGTCATTTCTTGTGCCATCACCTATCTGACAGGCGTTCTGTCAACGCGTCCGTCAGACAGTCATGTCATGCAAACAAACAAAATCGCTTTTATTGTAATCCACAATGTCAAAACATTGCAGCGGATGTTTAGTAAAAGCATTTTGGACAGGGACTGGCAAGCGGAATTGGCACATCAACAATACGTTGTGGCATGTGAGCCGGCAATTGAATATACATACGTACACACACGTGCTGGCATGTGCATGAGCGTGTCTCTGTGTGTGTGTGTGTGACCTACCTGCGCAGCTTTATCGCATGACACGCAGTTGTTCTGAAAATGATTTTACTATATTTTCTCGTTTTTTTTCCCCTCCTCGGGTGGCTTCCTTTAACGACACACTAAACCATAAAGTACTTACGCTGGGTAAGCTGGCTGCGAGAGAGAGAGAGGTTAAAAAAAAGGTTTGGGCCCCATTGATTTTCCATTGATAAATAGCTGACAGTTTACCGTTCTCGGCTACTTTTTGTGACACACACACGCACATACATATAGAGAGGAACACATATGGGTTAAATTGTTTAAGACTGTCTGCTACATTAAAAAACAATTTCCGTGAAATCTCTTTCAAGCGCAGCACGCATGGTAAATGGAAAATGAGCGATGAACTGACGCTGCAGAAATGAGTTAAAATGTGAATGCAAAATGTATGTAAAGCGGGTTAACGTTGGGGCTTACTTTGACAGGCAGTTCGCCTTTGGTTGAGATCCGCCCGAGGCCTATTGGCCAATTGCCTAGGCAGTGAATTGATGAATGTGCAGCGGGTGGCAAGGATATGTGGGCCGGTCTGCTAACTGATTTCCAATCATTTTATTTGTTGGCAACAACTCCATCTACTTGTAGCCAATTAGCCAGACTGTTAACAGGTTGTGTTGAAGCAATGACTTCTAAAAACATGCAGGGTAAATACTAAATTGATCGAACCCCCAAATTAATGGATTGAAAGCATTTCACAAAGCAACCCATTGATAGCTGTGTAAAACTTAAAGCGATTTCTGCGTGGGTCAATCAACTGTCGAGTGGGCGAAAATATGTCACGGGACTAAAATGCGTCCTGCGGCGTTCACATGAAAACAAAAATAAAAAAAAGGATGGAAAAAAATCTGAAAGAAATATTAATAAAAGATGAGCGACATTAGTGTCTTCTTCTTCATTTTCTTATACATTTTTTTGTGTGCGAATGTCCAACCCAAAATCGTAAAAGTAGCTAACAAAAAAAACCAAAAAGAAAAAAAGAAAGAAAACACTTTTTACTACTTCCTTTGAAACTGAATGAACACCTCCTGCACCCTGGACCCAGAGTTTTGCATTGGCTGTCATCTAACCTCGAGCGTTTTGTTGACCTTTTTTTTTCTGGCTCTGACTAGAAAAATAGATGCTGTTGGCTTTTGCTTTGGCTCTTTAAACCGTTGCCAAATGCAAAAAGAAAATGCCGTAAAAATTTGTAACACTTTCTGGGCTAGACGTTGGGATTTTGAGACGGCGTCATGGACGCAGACGCTGAGCTCGAGCTGTTTCTGTTTCTGGCTCGGCAGTTGTTGTCCCCTGCGAAGCATGACAAAACCAACAACAATAAACGTAAGGAACAGGCATCAAAACTTGGCCCCAGGCACAATTTGTCACACATACATGACACATAAATAATATATGTGCGCACACACTGTAGCCGGTCTGGCTTTGGCTGTGAGTGTGTGTGTCTGCATGTGTGTGTGTGTTTGTGTGTCTTGTCTTGGCCCTATTTGATTAATAAATTGTTTAGAGCGCGCTGAGCAATGACCGAAACTTACTGACTTGTGGCTAATAAAATATGAATGCCGCAACTTTTCAGCCGCAGCATCAAAAGGAGAGACATTAAGTATATACCCTATACATATGTATGTGTATATACACATCTGATTCACAAATTAGTCATGCGCATATATAAATTTAGCTGGTAAATTTGTGCTGCCCTGATGTATGTGCCTCAAATGGGGCGCACATTTAACCTCAGTTAACGTTTGCACTAAGACGCATATGCTTCTGCAAAACTGATTCGGAAAAAGCTCTGAGAGACATGTCTCCTAGTTTTGGAATGTAAGTTTATTTTCTGTACCGTCATATTCTCTGACTGCCTATTTGGGTTTTTTTTTGCCTATGAATTTTTTTGTCCAGTTTTTATATTCTTGTTCTTGTTTTTAGGGATAGCTCTTTTGATTACATCTCAATCAATTGGCGGCTGTTTTATGTTTGCACATTTCAACATCAACTTTCGGCTTTTGAAATGTTCATTTTTTATGATGCCTGCGGCCGTTGTGATGTTTTTTAAGGGACCCTCTCATGAAAATTTGT